TATTCTTGACTTTTGTTCTTCCAAATGAATTTTGTTCTTATTTTTTCTAACTCTATAAAATTTTTTTTGGTAGTTTGATTGGTATAGCACAGAAAAGGTAAATTAGTTTAGGCAGAATTGTCATTTTTATTATATTGGCTTGACCCACCCATGAAGCAGTTGATATTTTTCCATTTGTTTAGATCTGACTTTATTTGTGTGAAAAGTGTTTTGTAATTGTATTCATATAGTTCCTGGGTTTGCCTTGACAGGTAGACTCCTAAGTATTTTATGTTGGTTACAGTTGTTTTAAGTGGCATTTCTCTATGTATCTCTTGCTGCTAGGCTTTGTTGGTCATCTAAAGAAATTATGATTTATGTGAGTTTATCTTATATCCTGCATCTTTGCTAAAGTCGTTAATTATTTCAAGTAGTTTTTTAGTTGATTCTCTAGGATTCTTTAAGTATACATCATATCATCTGCAGAGAGTGGTGGTTTTGTTTCCTCATTGCCTACTCTAATTCCTTCTATTTCTTTTTCTTCTCATTGTTATAGCTAACCTTTCTAGTACTATATTGAATAATAGTGGTAATAATGGGCATCTTTGCTTCACCCTTGATTTTATTAGGAAGGCTTCTAGCTTGTCCCCACTACGGATAATGCTTGATGAGGGTTTTAGACAGATACCACTTATATTTGAAGGAATGCTCCCAATCTCCGCTTCCTGGTGGAGTAAGAAGTAAGTCGCTCTCACCCTCCTTTACTGACCTCTGAAAGCCCAGAAAATATCCACCCAGGAAAAATCCTGAGCCAGAAAAAAGACAGGGCACAGTAGTCTTGTAGTCCAGGAAGCTTGGGAGATTAACAGGAAAGGCCCCTCTTGCTCTGGGGGAGGGGGAGCAGTACAGGATTGGAGGCGCTCCAGCAGACCATTAGCAAGCCCAACCTCAGCACACCGGGGGGAGATCCTGAGACCCAGGGTGGTAGAGCAGGCAACTACCGACACCAGGACCACCCCCCATGCCCTCGGAGCCTCAATTACAGGTGGGTGAAGAAACAGACACCAGCTCAAAAAAACTGCCATGGGTAATGGTGTTCTCCAGGAATGCTTCCTTTATTCCTATGCTCTCTAGTGTTTTTAATAGGAATGAGTGTTGTATTTCGTCAAAAGCTTTTTCAGCATCTTTTGAGATAATCATATGATTTCTGTTGGTTTTGTTATTGATATGGCCAATTATATTGATAGTTTTCCTAATATTGAACCAACCCTGCATTCCTGGTATAAATCCCACCTGGTTATAGTGTATAATCCTTGTGATATATTGCTATAATCACCTTGCTAATATTTTGTTCAAAATTTTTGCATTGATATTCATTAGGGAAATTGGTCTATAATTTTCTTTCTCTATTTTAGCTCTTCCTGGTTTAGGTATTAGCACCATATTTGTGTCATAAAAGGAGTTTGGTAGGACTCCACCTATTTTTCTAAATAGTTTATATAATATTGTAATTAATTGTTCTTTAAATGTTTGGTAGAATTCACTGAGGAACTCATCTGGCCTTGGGGATTTTTTTCCTAGGGAGTTCATTAATAGTTTGTTTGATTTCGTTTTCTAAGATGGGGTTATTTAGGCATTCTATTTCCTGATCTGTTAATCTAGGTAGTTTATATTTGTGTAAATATTCATCCATTTCACTCAGATTGGCAGATTTATTGGCATACAATTGGGCAAAATATTTCCTAATGATTGCTTTAATTTCTTCTTCATTGGTGGTGATTTCATCCTTTTCATTTTTGGTACTGGACATTTGGTTTTCTTCTTTCTTTTTTTTAATCAAATGAACCACTAGCTTATTTTTCTTATTGGTTTTTTCATAAAACCAGCTCCTAGATTTATTGTTAGCTCTATAGTTTTTTTATTATCAGTCTTAATAATCTTACCTTTGATTTTCAGGATTTCCAATTTGGTGCTCAATTGTAGTTTTTTAATTTGTTCTTTTTCTAGATTTTTCTAGTTGCATGCCCGAATTCACTGATCTGTTCTTTTTCCATTTTGTTGATGTAAAAATCTAGAGAAATAAATTTTCCCCTAAGTACTGCTTTGGGTGCATCCCATGAATTTTGGTACGTTGTCTTATTGTCATTCTCTTTAATTAAATTATTAATTGTTACTATGATTTCTTCTTTGACCCACTTATTCTTTAAGATTAGATTTATTTAGGGGTCATAAAGAGTCAGATATGACTGAAACAACTGAACAGAATTTATCAATATTTACCATATTAGAAATTTAAAGTCTTAGTATTATTACAAAAATAGTTTTGTTCTCATGGACCCTTGGAAAGATCCAGGGACACCCCGATGGATACTTGGACCACACCTTGAGAAGGTCTGGTATAGGGAACTCTATTAAGGCAAGGCAGCTTCATCTCAGGAATACAAGGTCTTAGACAGCTATCTAGAGGATTGAGAGTTCAATAAATGGCTTGCCTAGTCATATATGCCAGTTGAACTTAGGTCTTCCTGGACAGCTCTCTATTTACTTTGCTGTGCCTCCTCTTTATCATTAAATCTAAAAATTTGGAGAACTTTACGTAGGTAGATCAATGAAGTTTGTGCTGTCCAAAATATGGCAATAGCAATAACAACAAAAGTGATTTTGTGGCTGAAATATTGGCACGAGAAAGGTAGGACTGTGGAACTGGAGCAGAAGACAATGGTCCTGCTGGCTTTCGCTGGTCTTTTTAATCTTGGACTTAGATTTATCTGCATGCCAATTGAGGAGTATCTTGGAAGCTGAAGGCAGGCTCCATCCGTAAAATTCCTGTGAAACTTTGTTGGATAGAGTCCATCAAATGGTTTTGAGGCATACAGACGGATGATCAGGAGTTAAAAGGAATTTTCTAACCCTAAGTCGGATAGCTGACATTTTGGAGAACAGACAGCGAAGGAATCTTTGCCCAGGGCATTCTGGTGGCTTTTATAGACTGCCTGGTTGGGTAGATTGTAGAGACTTATAGCGCTCAGCTCCCTACAATTATACAAAGACACAATGAACAGAATACTCTTAAGACAAATTTTATTTCATAGTCATATCTAAAAAAAAATCGGAGACAAATTATAAAACAAATGATATAAATATACGGCAAGCCCCCGACCCCCAATAATAGTCTTCTGAGCACTTGAAATCATAGAATGTATTCAGCAGGAAGTATCATATGTGTATGCTCTACTTAATTTTTATGGCATTCTCATTAAATCGTATACATGTGAATATATATTTGAAAAGCCAATACTGTCAGCAAATTTCATCTTTTTTATAAAGCAAAGAATTCTAACAATTTGATAGAAATGATTATTCCCATTCAGATGTTTACTCAACAACTATAACACACTGGACCTTAACAACCTGACCTTCAAAGTAGATGAAGCACAGGCAGTTAGGGAAAAAAAAATGTGTATGCTTTATACTTCCTCTGTGTGATACAAAGCCAATGATAGACACATCAGAATACATTAGCTGTAGCACCAGTGATACAGTCAGCAATACCATCCCTTGTTTATTTGTTTCCATCAGAAAATTTAAATAATATCCTGAAATGATTACAGTAGTTTTTCCATGCTATTGGTTATATTCCTAACTCTATATTAACTACACAGAAGAGACTCTAAAACTTAAGTCGCTTTGCTTTAAACAGTGACAAAACTAGTAACTATAACAAGCATTGAACTGAATAGAGCATGACATGCAATCTATTTTCTATAGATTGGGCAACTTTTGATTATTAGCAGGTGAAGTTCCTTGATTTCTTCTTTTTGTTGACTGTCTCTCTCTTGTTCATTTCACTGTTCAACCCTTTCTACCAGAGAAAGGGGCAAGAAAAAATGGAAACGAGAGAAGTCCATTTTATTACCTGTTAACAGTTCTAGTGAAAGGTTTGGTAGAAGAGAAGATTGAAGCTATTGGCTAAAATTAGGTTTGGTTATTTAAATACACACACACACACAGATACACACACACACGTGTATATATACATATACACACATAAATATATATATGTATATACATATATACACATATAAATATATATTTATATGTGTATAAACACACATATATGTATATATATATATATATTCTCGGAGCTATTTCTGTCTTATATTACCATGAATGAGCAAGATTTAGGAACCTTAGACACATTTCACTCTGCGTTCTTAGGCCTTGAGGAACTGAAATAATTATGTAATGGGAAACATTTTAGTAGAAATATCGTACAGTTCTAAGCTATGCATAAACAATTAAGGCAGCCAGAAATTTCCAAAATGTTTTTTGGAGCAATCTGCAATCCGACAAAGATTTGACTTAGAAAAACATGGATTATTGAGGGCAATGTGGTATATAGGACAACAGACCCTGGAGTGGGGGTCAGAAGATCTCACATCTAATCCCAGTTCTGCTCTTACTTAGGTTTGTGGCTTTGATGAAGCCACCGATCTCTCTTCTCTGGACCCCAGTTTCCTCACTTATCAAATAAGAGGGTTGAATTCGATGAGGGTTTGCCAAACGATTTTGATCATGGAACACTTGCCTTGAAATGTACGACAGAACTCATAAAAGACCATCTGAAAGCAGGAGATGGAGCTGTCCTTCCCGAACACGTAACTATTAGCAGATGAGTAGGCTTGAGTTTGGACTTCTTTTCTCTGAACAGCCCAGTGTTTTGGCCTTCATCTTAAAACTCAGCTGCCATTTAGATCATCTCTAGGATAGGGGTAGGGAGTCTGCTCTAGGATAAAAGGGGCTTAGGGAAATTTTAGCACAAAAAAGGAAACGAATCCCATTTTCATACCCTCTCACACCCCAAATGCCATACATAGCAAGTATTTTGGACACATACATGGCATCATATTGAGTAATTTTTTTTTTAATGAGGCAGTCGGGGTTAAGTGACTTGCCCAAGGTCACACAGCTAGTACGTGTCAAGTGTTTGGTCTGAGGCCGGATTTGAACTCAGGTCCTCCTGACTTCAGGGCCAGTGCTCTATCCACTGCACCACCTACTTGCCCCTATAGTGAATATTTTAAAGAGAAAAATATCACCAGAATTCAAGTTTTTTCATGGGACTTCTATTTATATTGTGTGCAACCAACATGAGGGATTCACATACGGCAGTTTAAAGCTTCTGGGCTGGATGGCTGGCAAGGTATCTTATAGCTTTACAGTCTGATGGTTCAGAAAGAGCCTAATCCAATGTCATATATAGAAACTCTTTTGTTCAGAAGCCTGTCAACAGAACTACTTACAGAACTGTTGGGAATACAAGTACGTGGATTATCTGCTTGATAACGGGAATCACCAGAATGAAGAGCTAGCTCGTTTTAAAGTGGCACACATATACGACTTACCACTTTATCACTGCATGTCAGTATTTTTGCCATATTGTGTTGACAAGGAGTTTTGCAAAGACTTAACAGTTTATCTTCACAGCAGTCCTTTTGGGACGGTCATAAGGGATTCTACATTTTATGTACATGGAAACCATGACACTGGCTGTCCCGCACACCCTCCCCCCAACTCCCAGTTTTTATTGACCCAAAGTTTTGCCCTTTAATCTGAGACAGGCATTATCAGAATCAAAGTGCCTAAATGCAATAGCCCTTGGTTCACTAGTTGCCTATGACTATGGAAAATGTATCAAGATCATTTTTGTGAGTGATAATATTATAATCTTCAGAATTTCATGAGAAAAATATAAATTGCATTCATTTCTTTATTATAGAAACATTTTTAAGTTGTATAAAACTACTTGAATCTTAAGCATATGCCAGTTTTATTTTACATTGATACATTAGCAATTCTCTACAGGTAAGAGTTGGTTCAGAAATGTAGCCGCAGTCTTGTGCTTACAAACCAATTTATCAGCCTGCTTATAGTAAGTAGTCTGATAAATTTTTCTTCCTTTTTTTCCTCCCCAGCTCACAAAGGAAGTGATTGTAAAGAGGTTTTGGGTTTTTTTTAAACTTTCTTTTTTCTCTCTTTTTTAAAAAAGCGAGCTCTGAGGGCCCTACGTGCAACAAGGTCTTTGCTTTTATGAGGATGTTTCCAGAAATTCTTGAATAGCACGCTTTTGATGTATCATGTCATCTGTATAAACTCAGCTGGCAGTCAGAACAGCGCCCGCCAGAGTAGTGCCCCAAATGAGATACCTTTGTTCTTTCGGCCAGCAACAGGGTGCCGAGAGCTCCATTTCAAGCGGCACTACACATGCGTGCCTTCTATGTATTTTTTTCTTGGTTGTTCCTTTAGTCGGATACAAGGCTGGATGAGTAAGAAGAGCATTCCCACCATGTAAAGCAAGCCGCATATATAGAAGGAAAAATCATATTTTTGGGTGATGTCATAAATCCAACCTGCAAGAACAAGAAAGTGGGGAGAATCAGGGTAGAGCCCATGACAAAAACCAATCTGAGGAGTCTTTTTTGTGAGCTTCTGCCATCCCTCTTTACGTATTTATTTCATTTAATGCAAAAAGTGCTATGTAAGCATTGGAAGTAGCTGGCAAAATCATTTTACTTGGTAATGTTCCAACAGGACCGTATAAACGTTCCCTTCGTTTGTCATTCTTTCATCTCTGCTTTTAATTCTAAGGGCTGATCCTGGGCTTCACAGGCAAACTTTAATTAGAACCACAGGACTGAGTCGTATCCAAGTTATTTCATTTATGAAAAGAATTTGAATATTTAAATGTTCTTCCCTTTCAACAAATGCTTTAATAATTAACATTTATATATTATATATAAGATATATAATGTATATTTATATAATAACACATTAAATACATCTCATTTGATGCTCAGAACCACTCTTTGATTTGGTGCTGTTATTATGCCCATGCTACATTTGAAGAAACTGAGGCAGACAGAGGTTAAGTGATTTGCCTGGGTTCACGAGGCTAATAAGTGTCTGAGATTGGATGTGAACTTAGGTGTTCCTGATTCCAAGTCTGAAAATCTATCTGCTAGGTGCCTCGATGAGAGATGAGGTTGTAATTAAGTACCTTAAAATGTAATTTCCGATTCCAGTTTCAAACATGAAATTGTATAAAAATGAAGACAAAATGCATAAAATAAAGACTAAATGCATAAAAATTTATTCTAAAACCCCATAGTTACAATAAATTGTTCTGATCAAATAACTTAGATTTCTTGTAAAATCCTTTCTTTTGTCACTTGTGAAAAGTTCCATCAGAGACTGCCTCCCACCTGGCTCATATCAGATGTTCAGAACATCTTCAAAATAAACACTCATCCCCCACTTCACCATGTGACTTATATTCTCTTTTCATGTGAAGCCACTAAAAAAAGGAGGGAAAGTCATTTTCCTGATGAACAAAATACATTTGTCTTGGGACAAATGCAATACAATAATAACAAATACAATACAACAAAAACAGCCATGCACATTTCTTTCTTTCTTTTTTTTTTGTGAGGCGATCAGGGTTAAGTGACTTGTCCAGGATCACACAGCTAGCAAGTATTAAGTGTCTGAGGCTGGATTTGAACTCAGGTCCTCCTGACTCCAAGGCCAGAGCTCTATTCACTGTGCCATCTAGCTGCCCCCCATTCACATTTCTGTAGAATCTACTCTACATGCTCTCTTAGGAAACATCCTTATCCCTATTTTATGGATGAGGAGTGAGACGCTCTGGAAGATTTCAAGTGACTTCTCTAGGGTCACATAGCTAGTAATTATCTGAAACAGGACACAGACTCAAATCTCAAATATCCAACACTCATTCCACTGAGTCACAAGAGGCCAAATATCACTCATCTGCAGGGGAGACCTTAAATCCAAGGAAAACTTAATCCCAAAGGTCTATTCCCAGAGCTCTTAGGACCCTGACCTCTGCCTTCAGACCTCTGTATTTAGTCCTTGGCACATTGGGTAAAACAGGGCGGGAGGGACGGTATTTCAGGGGCAGTTTTTGACCTTTTGTCCATGATGAAATGGCTCACTTCCATAGGCAAAGCTTCTAAGAACCAATGTACTGAACAAATCTTTCCAGTACTGCTCTCCTGAGATATGATCTCAACCCTGTAACTCCTTGCACTGGACCCAAGTGGCTCATATCAGGAGTTCAGAACATCTTCAAAATAAACACCGCCCTTGCCCCATCCCACCATGAGTCCTCTTTTCATGTGAAACCACCATGGAAAGGAGGGGAACTTGTTTTCCTGGTGAACAAAGGCAATTGTCTTCTTGGAAAACAGTCTAAGAGCTGAAAAAAAAAACCCACTATTTGGTATTTAGTTTTTATGTGTAGACTCTTGTCCAGTTCAATCCGACCTCTGAGATTGACATTATTTTGTACTTTTTTGAAAGAAGTGAACCAAGTGTGTTTTGTTGGACTGGCTACATGAGAATGCCTAGAAATGCTAGAGTCAAATTGGGCCCTAAAGTTCCCAGGGCTAAATGGTGCTGCTAAGACCAGTAGCCAGGGCTTGGTTTTGTTTGTTTGGTGGGTTTTTTGGGAATTGGAAGTATGGTTTTGCTCTCAAGTTTTCATAGCAAGGCTGTGTGATTTTTTTTCCTGAGTCTTAATAAAACCACTGGAGCTGGGCATTTGTTATCAGTCTAAGTCTTTGGGGGGGGGGAAGAAATTAATTCATTTTCCTGGGTTAATCCCCCCCCCCCCAGTTCATCTGTGGTTGTTATTCTCTCTAGCAAGCTGAGGCCAGTGGCAAGGCCTGAGCCAGCTGTGATTTCTAGCCAGCATGTGGTGCAACTGGGTGTCCTCCTGCCTCATTTCTGTCCCCCTTTGGCACAGTGCCCAGAGATGCCACCAACTCCAGTAGCACTGTGATCATCAGACTTCACTTTTCTTCCCTACTCTTCCTGAATTTCTGATTCATATAAGGCGTCTTGACACTAAAATTGGAAAGAAGAGGTCAATCATTAAGCATTATTATGTACCTACTATGGGTCAGGTGCTGGGGATACACGGAAAGACATAAAGCAGTCCCGCCCTCAAGGACCTTACAATCTAGCTAGTGTTTCTTGGGGGGGGGTACATATTCTTACTAGCTGTGTGACCCTGGGCAAGTCACTTAACCCTGTTTGCCTCAGTTTCTTCATCTGTAAAATGAGCTGGAGAAGGAAATGGCCAACCACTCCAGCATCTTTGCCAAGAAAACCCCAAATGGGGTCATGAAGAGTCAGATGACTGAAAAACAGTAATTATCCATTTCTAGAAGATGCCTCTGCCACACAGAAACTGACAATGAAGAAATCTTTTTTTTTAGGGATTATTAAAAGTTTTTAAAATCCAGAGCGGCTAAGTAGGGCTGGTGGAGCTGAGCAGGTAGACTTAAGTTGCTCTAGTTTAAAATGAAGGTGAAGCCCTGTGAAATAGCAACTATTGTCAGAAGCCTCTCCTAGCCCATGGTATAATAGAAAGGCCACTGAACAGTAAGGGAATAAGGACACCTGAGTTCTAGACCCAATCCTTCTATCAACTAGCTGTACCTCCTGGCATGTCATTATAGCATCGCTCTAGTTGTCAATTTCCTCATTGGTAAAATGAGTGGGATTGATTCGATAAATGATCTTTAAGGTGCCTGGCTTCCAGTCATAGCATTCTATGATTTACAGACCCTCTGATCTATTCTCTAGGTTTCCAGGATGCTACATTAGACCCTCAGATTAGTAAAAGTCAGGGTAAAAACACTTGCCCTGCTACCTGGCTTTCTGGGTGGAAGCCTTTGCTCACATGCTCACTGGCTCATTGATTGTCTTAATCTGTCATGATACACTGGGTATGGTGGCACCCCAGAGGCTGAGGCTTGAGCTCTAGAGTTCTGAGCTATGCTGATCTGGTATTTGCACTAGGTTTGGCATCAACATCGTGAGCCCCTGGGAGTGGGGAGGGAGGCTATCAGGTTGCCTTAGAAGGGGCGAATCAGCTAGGGTTGGAAATGGAACAGATCAAAGCTCCTATGACCAATAAATAGTAGAGGGGTCAGGCCCATGAGTAGTTCCTGACCTTCTAGTCTCAGTGAGACAGGGAAACCTAGTCTCAAAAAAAATTAAATTATTGTTAAATTAATAAAATTTATTAATATAAATATATTAATTATATATAATTATATATTAATTATATATAATTATATATAATTACAAAATAAATTTTAAAAATCCATCATAACACAGATCAGCAGCAAGGAGACTATGTGAAATCACAAATTGTTACCTCTGACCATCTTGTCAAGTTGGCAGAAAGAAGGGCATAACAACGAAGGTCCTCACATCTTTTATCTAAGGGGCAGGTAGGTGGCACAGCGGATAGACCACTGGCCCTGAAGTCAGGAGGACCTGAGTTCAAATTTGGCCTCAGACCAAACACTTGACACTTAACTAGCTGTGTGACCCTGGGCAAGTCACTTAACCCCAATTGCCTTAAAAAAAAAACCACCTCACATCTTTTATCTATACTATAGCATTAAGTAGAGGAGGAAACTCCCTTCAATAAACAGAGGAAGACCTGTGCACTACAACGCTCACCCCAGTGATTATAATCAAGTCAATGCTTGATTAGATAGTGCCAAGGAGATGTGCCCATCAATCAGGGAGCCAATGAACATTTAATAAGCTCTTACTATTCGCCAGACAAAATCATAGATTCTCAGGAGTTAGACAAAGTCTCAGTCTAACCCATCCACACCTGAACTCTCTTCTACAGAATATCCTATGAACAGTTAACAATAGTAATACCCCGAAACTCACCCAACCTCTCATCTATCTTCTTAGGCAGCTTATTCCATTTTAGATAGTCTAATCATTAGGATAATTTGGATAGTATAATCATTACATCAAGCTTAAATTTATTACAACCATTATTTGGATGGTTAAATGACTACATCAGGCTTAAATATGACTTCTTGCAGTTCTCAGTTCTACTCCCTGAGGCCAAACAGAATAAGTCTAGTTCCTCCTCCATATGATAGTCCTTCAAATACATGAGGATAGGGGGGCAGAGCCAAGATGGCAGAGTGAAAGCAGTGATTTGCTTGAGCTCTCCTCCAAACCCCTCCAAATACTCATAAAAAATGGCTCTAAACAAATTCTGAAGCAGCAGAACCCACAAAAAGACAGAGTGAAACAAATTTCCAGCCCAAGACAACCTGGATGATTGATCAGAAAGGTGTATCGCACTGGGCTGGGAGCGCAGCGCAGCCCGGCGTGGGCGCGCAGGCTGCAGCAAACCTGGAGCAGGCCTCAGAGGACTGAATCTCGGGCAGCTGTGGAGGTTTCCAGACTCCTCAATCCAACAATGCCAAAGACAAATTAGAAGGTCAATGGGAAAAGTCTGTTTTTGTTGGTGCCTGAGAAAGGAAGGCGGGGTTTCAGCTCT